TGAAGGTGAACACATTGAACACATTGTTAATTTAAGGAACCAAGTGATTCCCTCTCTTTTGCTTTGATTGAGAAATCTTCCTTAACAGGAGTGGGACTTTTGTAATGGGAGTTTTTCTGAATTTTTTCTGCATAGCTCCTCATCTTCAGTAAATATGTACCATGTTTAAAGTTTCTGGTCCCATGATTCTCTTCATACAAGTTGCAGGTGCCATCAGTTGGCAGTACTAATTAATGACAACAGATCCAGTTACCTTCAGGGGAAAAGAAGAGTGCTGGGCACCTGGTTATTCATTTCCTGACCTACAAATCCTTTTTTACCTTCTCCTAACTCCATTTAACATCTTCAGTGCTGCTTGTCAAGGCCAAAATCTAAATCTAAAGCTGTGACATATTCTGGTATTGCTTTCAGTTTTTTGTGGGAGCCTTTGAGAAGCTCAGTGCTGAGGAGACCCTGTCCAGCACAAAATAGACATTACACAGGTATTGACAAAAAAAAGCAATAGAGATACTATACAGATATTTCTTTTAAAACCTGTTATTTCAATGGCAGGGTAAAGACCAAGTACACTGGTGTGGAAGGTTGTGTCTAGTAGTAGAGCACACTTTGTGTCCCAGATTTGCAGAATTATACAAGTGTTTTCTGTAGCTTATGTTGTCCTATGAAGGAGCTATGTGTTCCTTCCCTGCTATTCTGTTCCCTAGAGGCTTGAATGAGAGGGGTTACCATGAGCAGCTGCAGCAACAGCACCAACAAAAGCAGCAGGCATTGGACCCTCGATTTCCTGTGCTGAGCTGAGCCTGTGCAGCACCTGGGGTCTCTGGGGTCGTAGCCATCTGCCGTTTGCGTATCTCCGTCCTCTCTGATCCCATGGGCTGCAAGCAACAAAAGAAGGGAGAAGTAAGAAACATCTCTCTTTTTTTTCTTTTTTTGTTTGCTTTAAAATTCTTACCCAGAAGTGCTGAAGTCCACAGCCTCAAAGGAACTGAAAAGCTAAATCACTGTTTTTCCCCCATGGAAGTTCTTAGGTGTTGAATCCTGTGGAAGAGTCACTCATTTAAGTGCTGTGATGGAAGGCAAAGGGCTAATGAATTCTTCACAGTGTGGGAATACAATGAGAAGGGAGTGGTGATGCAGAGAGCAAAAGGTACAAGTGAGGGGTCTTAGAGAGCTAGAGCTCTTGGCACTGAGGTATATAAGCCTAGGAGCTGAAAAGGATTTCCTGAGGTTTTGACTTCAAGGCCATCCTAAAGAAAATAGCGGAATAAACAGAATAGCAGCAGCTAGGGCCTCATTTTTTCCTTTTTTTTTTTTTTTTTTTTCCTTTCACCTGATTATGCACAGGCTTCATGATGCTTGAGTAAGACACCTGAGCTCTCCTGAAAATCTGGCCTTTTGTCTCAAACCTGCTGGTTCCCTTTGTAGCGAAGGGGGAAGGGCCAATGCTCATTTCTCCATGGAAGGTCTGACTGCCACAGTTTTTGAAAACATTTTTCTCTGTGCTTCTGTGAAGATAAGGAGGAAACACAAAACTAGATGGTAAGAATTACATGGTTTTCACTGAACTCCCCCCACCTGAAGAAAGCATGAAATAATTTTTGCTGGATGCACTGGTTGGTTTTTTTGCCTAGTTGTAGGAAGCCTTTTTGGAGACTGCATTTTGCAGATTGTGCAGATAAGTTGATGAAATTATATGTCCCCTTGAAGTCCCTGTTCATTTCTGACCTATCTCTGAGCTTTACATTTGCTCTGCAGCACTTAATAGTGCTCTCCTTGTTATGCTGAAAGTTCTGCCATATATAAGTGACAGATGTCTTTGATGCTAACTTGTACAAAGATGAGTATGGCTTTCTTCATTTTATTTGTATTTGATTTTTGAATACATAGCTAGTCATCCTCCTGTGTCACGAGATCCCTTTGTGTGTAGGTTTGTTTCAGGTTGCTAAACTTTCTTTTGAGGCCATGACAATTGTAGGAGAATTAAAATTAACTGCTAACAATTTTGAGTTCTTTTTTTAAAATCTGTAATATCAGACTTGAATCTAATGAGATAAATACTTGAGGGTTAAAAGTTGTTTTCCTTTCTAAAATGTTCATCCAGGTTTAGAAAATGCTATTGTTTTAACTTGAGGGGGAATGTACAGATTGTGTCATGGACTCAACAGAAGTGTCAGGAGAAGAAAGAATGCTATTTTAGCAGAGTGCAGCATTATATTTTGCTGCACTTTGGCTACTGTGGGTTTTTTTTTTAATTTTGAATTTATTTCTGTCTTGTAGAGCTTAATAGTTTTTTTGTATTTGTGAGAACCACCCACTCTCCCAAGAGAAAAATGCATGACATGGTAGCAGAAGATGCACCTGTGTATCAGGTGGAATAAAATACAAGAACAACAATATAGCTAGAAACTATAACCCGTTTTGAAACTCTGAAGGCCCAATCTGACAAGCAATGCCTAAATGACCAGGAATAGAAAATGAGAAAAAGAACATAGTTTCCAACTCCCCCTCCCCAACCTTTCTTGCTTCAAAATGTGGAATCTTAACAGAAGTGTAGAATGCATTTGTAGAATCAGATTTCTTTCTGTCAGCTTCAGATTCACATGAATGGAATTAATAAGTATTAATTTTCTTCCAGATACCTATATTTTTTTTAAATGGAGCATTTTCACATTTCAATTAGAGAGGGATAGCATATAAAACATTTTTAGAAGGACCATATATCTAACAACATTTCAGGCTGCTTTGGACAGTACACAACAATTATTATTGGTTACAAAAATGTAACTTGGATTCAGACTTGTGCTGTTTGTATAGCCTAATTCTGAGATATTTTATCTTCACACATTCATATCTCTGTTTCAAATTAATAATGAGTTAGCCTGGGCTAGATACAATCCAGGGTCCATGTTACAGGATGGCAAGGTAGAGAGCTGAGCAGTGATGCAGGTTATTACAGGGTTGTAGAAGCTGCTTTGGTGCACATGGTGTTAAGTCCCATAGGACAAAACCGTGTCAGGCTGGTCAGGTTCACAGAACAAGCAATAAGTGATCTATCTCAGCACTGTTTACCTGACTTCACAAGTGCCTTATCTTATGTGTGTATGTATCTTTTGGCTGCTTCTAATATATCCAGAATTTCACTGTAGGACATGGAAGTTTTCCCTCACACTTTGCTGCTTCTTGCTGCCGCCACCAGGGCTGTGTAGTGAGCCTTGCCAGGCAGTTGCTGGGTTTGAGCTCTGCTGTGTGCAGGAATGGGTAGTAGATTTATCAATTACTCCAGTGAACACTATTTGCAGGGATTAACAAAATTCCTTGCTCCTTTATAGTACAGCCCACATTGGCAACAGTTTAAGCAATTGCTTGATTGGTTTGTGGCTCTCTGGGAATTGAGATGGCTATTATGTTGCCTTCAGGATCCTTCAGGGCAAAAAGGAGAGGGTATTTCTAGACCTTGTAGTGAAAGGGTCTTCTAGTCATGTAATTTTACAGTTGTTAATTTGGGACATCAGATTTCCAGACCTCTCTGAAGGTGTTATGGGAATGAAAAAATTGTATGAGAACCCTCTGTACTGGATGTTCTCTGCACTTTAAGGACTGGAGTCTGCCTTCTCTGTCCCCACCATCTGAAGCAGCAATGTGCCTTGTTTGAAAATGTGTTAGAGAAGAAAACACTGAGGATTAGAAAACTGGAGATGGACTGTTATCCTGTACATGTTTTCTGAGGAATCCAAAAATACTTTCAGGTTAGTGATGGGGTGATGTAAGATACTTTTAACCAAAGGACTTCAACCCATACCATCTCATGCTCTGCTTATACTCAGACTGGGTATGGTATTAGCCAGTTTCTGGGTATAACACAAATAATCAGTAGGGTCTAATTTTGCCAATATTGACTCACTGTGAGGAATCAAATCCTTGAATGGGACAGTCAGTGTCTAAATGGAAAGAGGGGTTTCTGTTGCACAGGTCCTCATAGTGGTGGTGTTGGCTTGAGCATGTGAGGCTCTGGGACATGCATTACTGCTCAGATCCTACACCCAGCTGTCTCATGTGCCTTGGGACCGCTCCAGTGTGCACATGATCCATCTCTGGTGGTTGTCTAGAGCTACAAATCATCTACCTCCCTAAATTGTGCATGAGTCTGTCCTGCATGAGCATTTTTGCATCTGCAGGAAGTTTCTTGTGACTACGGACCAGTGACTAGCCACTCCTCTGACTTCCTGCAGTCTGTGCAGAATTGGGTTGATTTTGTAGCTTTGGAGATTCTGGATATTCTTCATGCAGGATATTAATCAGCACATTGGAACACAAAGGAACTTGACTAGGCACAGAGTGTCCTGCCTGGAAGAATCCACAGAACCATTCAAATTCCACATGGAGAGCGCCAATTAGTCAAATACTTAAATGAGAACTGGGTTTGAGCTTGTCTCCAGTTGGTCCATTATTTCAAGTCAGTCTAATGTAGCATCTCTGCAGATGCCTAGGTGCAGAGTTTCTGCATCTCCCAAGGAAAGAGATGTCCATCTCTATGTAATAATAACAACAAATTTAGTCCATTATAAAATTGTCCCTAAAAGAGCAATGAAACAAAAATAAAGGAAAATTAATGGCATTAATTCTTCTTCTTGCTTCTTATCCCACTAGATAGCATCTATCTATCTATCTATCTATCTCATATAAAATCATGTAAAAAAGTATGTGCTCATATTATTGCATGCTAATAAGTAATTTAAAAAAAGTCCAAGGATTTAAGCAAACATCTGAGATGCTACTTTTGACAATAGTGGCAAAATCACTGTATGCCTTAAGAGTAATGTTGAGGTGGTGAAATAAGAATGTCTGTCATATCTTTTCCACTCCAAAGCATACTTATCTGACATTCAGATTATGAAGCATTTCTCCATATAACCTTATAAACATGAAGGAGTGTAAAGGTCAGGAGTGAAAATTATTTCCCTGGTTAAAAACACCTCAGGTGATATTTGGCTTAGTTGTAACATTTATAGTATTTGCTAATTTCTCAGCAGAAAGGTGGGCTACTAAGAAAATAGCATTCTCAAAGGAGGAATATTTAAAATCTAAGCCACAAATGAAAATTTAAAAAATAAAACAAAACCTTAACCAAATTTTAAAAAAGCCCCAAACCCAGGAATACACAGAAGATTGTAGCTAAAACTTTATACTTTTATCCCCACTTTATACTAAAACACAATGACATTTTTTCAGCTCTAAGTGCAAAGATTCTATTACTTAAACTTAATTACTGAGACATAATATTTCCTCCTTGTACACATTACAATCAGGCAGGTGTGCAAGCCTTTAGCTTGTCCTTGGGGCTGATTTGCATGGCCACAGCATGAAGCTTTCCCAGTAATTCCACAGCCTGGGAAGCCTTCTGCTGGAACACTAGCTGACAGCCACTTGGAGTGAGGACACAGATGTGGATCATATAGTCCAGTTATTTTTCAGTAAATACTTCAGGCCTGACCCAAACTCCACTAAAGTAATGAAAGCCACTTCTTGGTGTCAGCAAGCTTTAGGTGAGGTTATGTAACTCTCACAGTTGTTGCTTTGACTTTGGATCCTCCCAGTAATGATAACCAGTGAGTTGGAAGAGATTCTGTTCTTATCTACTAATGTCATAAGAGGCTTGCAACTGGGGTCAAGTTCCAAATAAATCTCTAAATCTATATTTTAACAATTCAGATATATTTGGGGCTGCAACAAACTCCCACTGAAGCCTGTGGCAGTTCACCGTCAACTGAAATATGAACAGGAAACTTGATGCTCGTGCTTCTTCCTTTTCATTGACAAATGTGACAAGCAGGCTTTCTGCATCAAGCAGTGTGCTATTTTAGACAGAGAAGAATTCTAATATATGTTAATGAACTCGCCCACACATATGCACATGCTTTAGGCATAGTTATCAGATTGCCCACTTTTGTAGGTTAAGAGCAAGAGCTCCTCAAAAGTTATCTTGTATTATTGCAGATTTGGCATATTGTAGTGGGGTGGCTGAGATGGTTGAGAGTTTGTAACTGCAAGACAGAGGTTAGCAGAAGGGAGACTGGCAGCACATGGAATAAATCAGCTTTTTGCTTCACTGCTGTGCCCAAGTCTGCTAAAGGCTTCAGTGGATAAAGCTGCAAGTGAAAGTGTTATCCTGTAACTAGCAGCTCTGGGACTCTTTCATGTCAAATGTCCAGAAACTGAGTACCTTTGCTTGTTTTACTTTATTTTTCCAGAGAAGCTCAGAGGAGCATTCATCTACCCAGCTGAAAGCATTGTGTTACATTTCCAAAGGGATGGCTGAAAGGGTGTCACACCCACATAGTAACAGGTAATGGTGCCTTGATCATGTCACCGGTAACAGGTATTTTTCTACCAATGCCTTAGATGTCTTCTGCTCTTTTTTCTTTGGTATTCAGTTCTGCCCAGCTGGCCACCACACGAGGCCATTCTCTCCAAAACCTTCCTGCACTTAAGTCTTTCTCTGAGTAAAATCTGACTTTCCTGTTAGAAACCGAGTTACTTGGGGCTTCAATGGGATTTTTGTGTGGATTTTTTTTTGTTTGGGTTGTTTGTTTGTTTGTTTGTTTGTTTTTTAGAGAGATGTCTTATATCTCCTCTGGATAAAGAATTTCTTTAGTTTTGATTTTATCATGAGACTTCATTGAAAATGTTACTCAACATGTAATTAACAGGGTCACTGTCATTATTTCTCCAGTAATAAGGGAAAGACATGAAAGAATTCCTTACCAGTTGCATAGAAAAAGCAACAAAAGCAACCTGTTGTTTCTGTCCAGCTGATTATGTGGATGCTGTGACAGTGGAGCAGTATGAATTTAAGTATGGATATAACTTTATCCCATGCTGAGTCCTTCACAAACGAGGTCACTGCAAACTGCAATTAAGTTAAATCAGTGTCAGGATCTTCTCCTCTGCACAGCACAAACTGTCAGAATCCCTTGCCTCGACTTCTGTGGCATCTGGGGTCAGCCTCAGTGGATGTATGTCAGTCACACTGACTGATCAGCTCTCTTGGAAGAAAAACCAACATAAAACTCCACAGGCTTCTCCAGTGCTGGGATTTTTACCACTGCTTCAACCCTGCTTTTGCTGGCTCTGATGTCAGAGAAAGTAATGGCTTCTAGTTACTTTCCTGCAGCTTGTTGTAAGAAACAATAACATTTAAAAAAAACATTCATCCTAATATTTTACAAACCCCTCTACTGTGCAGTGAAACTGGTGCCTGTAGCAGTTTACTCTGCTCACTCCCATTATCTCCTCCTGAGAGCTTGGTTGCATTGTGCTTAATTATGAATGGCCTCCAAAAAGCCCGTTTTACTGTACTATGAAGTGACTCATATCACACAGAAGCTCTGACAACTCGCACTGAGTACTGGAGGCACATGGCGCTGTATTAGTCAGTGACTCATTTCACATTGTACTCGGTGCTGAGATCTGACTCACACTGAACTGTGTGAGAAGCTGACTGACATTGTACTGGTCTGAAAGCTGGTTTGAATCGGGATGACTCACCCCGGAGTTCATTAAGCGGTGATTCACACACTGTTTCCTATTGATTCCGATTGTCGCGATTCACTTCGGGTTGTACTACGCTGGCATCTGGCTGCTCTGCAGGGCAGGCACTGTGATAGCAACCCTCTGCCTGGTGAGCTCGGCTGTAGTGCCAGCCGGCAGCGTCAGACAGGAGGAGGAGTACCGAACTGAATTTAATGCTGAAGGAAGGTCAGAATTCGGCTTAGCACACATTCACTTTGGCCATGACACTTTCTGGGCTTCTTTGCTTCACCTGGCTTTGAAAAGTTTTGGAAACAGCAAGTGAGGAGTAATGAGCCTCCAGCTAAGAATCCTCTTACTTCTGAGTACCAGGAGATCTCCGGAGTATTTCCAAGATTGGCTGTCTCCTTTATCACTTTTCTTAGTGACAAAAAGATGGGACGAGTTTCTGTGGGTGACTGAGTACTGATAGTAGCTTATATGCTTCAAGTTAATCAACATTTGACCTGAGCTCCAAGTGACACAGGCACCCACAGCCTGAATACTCCTTCCCGCTACTTCAAGCTCAGACATCACTACTCTCTCTGAAATATGTTCACTGTTCTAAACAAGGGGTATAGAGTTGTATAACAGCTTAGGTGATGCTTCCATTATTAAGAATTTGGGACCCAGAGTAAAGATATCAAAGTAAGTATAGATGTGAAGAGTAGATAAAAAATTAAAGGGGAAATAAAGTAACTGTTCTCTCACCTTTGAACATTTTATAAAACATAGTGCTAGTTTTACATTCAGTTGGCTCTGACTTTAGAGAGACACTCCTAATTTTAATATGACGTTCCTAATTTTAGGAACCACAACTAGGAATCTCCTAGTGGATGATGATTCTGGTGTTCTGTTTAGTCGAACTGGTGTGTACTGCTTCTGGCCCTGTAATACAGCAGTCATGTAGCTGCCTCCACAGCCCATAGCTCTGCAGAGCACTGGATTCGATGGTGACATTCTGTTTGTGCAACAGAGGTACAAGGAGACTCCTTGCCATTATGTCATAGCGACAAGTGCCATAGGAGAAGTTTTCATTTTACATTTTTCAACAGCAAAAATGGAATAATGGAACGGTTGCATCAAGTAAATTACACCGCTATTAAATTACTGTAGGTTTTTACTGGAGTGTACAAGGATAATCCTATCTAACTTTCTGTATTTGTGTCCAATTTTTTACCTGCTTTTTCTTACCGACTGACGTTACCTAATGTCAGAGCTCAGGAAGAGCTTTCTTTTCTCTAAGGATGCTTGATGAGGCAGGCTGGTACTGGAAGACTCTACAGAAGAACTCGCCTGTTGCTGCTTATCTCTCTGACTTGGCAGGGGAGCCCCGGGCTCCGAGAGCACACGCACCGCGGGATCCCCTTCGCGGTGGGGCGGGGGCACGGGTGACACTCATCTTCGGCCGCACTCGTGAGACGAGGCAGAAGGGCCCCTGAGCGCCTGGCGGGGCCGAGCCGAGGCGTTACCTGCGCTGGGGCCAGGGAGGTGGCACGGCCAGGGGTGCGACCCCTTCCCAAGGCGGGATCCTGACCCCGCTCCCGGAGCCGAGGTCAGCACGGTGCTACCCGGGATCTGCGCGGGGAGCCCCTGGGGAGGGACATGGAGGTGAGAACCCGAGCTCCGGGAGCTCTCGGCTTGCAGCTCCAGACTCTCCGGGAGAGCGGGGGAAACGCCTTTCGCGCCGAGTCCCGGTGGTTCTTCCCGGGGAGGTTCTGTCCAGCCCCGGCCGCGGGGACCACCGCCGGCAGCGCAGCCCGTCCCGTCCCGTCCCGTCCCGCTGCACCCTCGGCGGCTCCAGCTGCGGCACGGGGGTCGCGGCTGCCGGCGACGAGCCCTCCCGGAGCGCGGGATGCGGTGTCCGGCTGCCGCCGAGCGGGACCGAGCGCTACTTACGGTGTCGGCGGCGGAGCCCGGCCGGGCGTCCTCGCACGCTTCCCCTCCGGTCCCGGCGGGCTGGGCGACCGGGAGCGGCGGCTCGCCAGCCCCACGCATGCGCCCGGCCCCCTCGGGCTCGTCTCACGGTGCGGCCGCGGGTGGGTTCGCTCGCCGTGGCTGGAGCCGGAGGGAGCGAGGCCGGCAGCCCGCGCTCCCCGCCCCGGCACGGCCCGACGGGATGGGCTGGCGCCGGGTCGCCCCTGGCCAGGCGAACACAGGGGGGCTGCTACGGCTCAGGGCCGGTGTACAAAGGGATTAAACGCAGCAGCGCCCGCACCGCGGCGGCGGACTGGGCAGGGCGCGGGGGGAGCCATGGGACAGGCGCCGCAGGGAGAAATGCCGGAGAGACCGGCGTGAGAGCGTGTGAGTGGAGAGTGTGTGTGTGCGTGTGTCTCTGGGTGTGTGCGTGTGTGTGTGTGTGTGTGTGTGTGTGTGTGTGTGCGCGCTGATGGGAGGGAGTGGGAAGGGCTTGGAGAGGCGGCGGTGCCGCCGTGGGGCTCGGTGCTGGTGCTTCAGTGTTCACAGATGCCAAACAAGAGAGCCGGGCTTCTCAACCCGGAGCTGGAACGTGCTCGCATTTTAAGTAACTGCGTGTTAGGATAAACGTCTTCCCTCTCCTAGCCGCCTCCCGGCAGGGCTCGCCGCCGCCGGGCTCTCCCGGGCTCGCTCTCCCGTTCAGCGGGGCAGGTGTGACACGGCTGCGGCAGCCGCGCAGCGCGGCTCCGTGCGAGGCGTGTGCCGGGGGCCGCCGGGCTGGGCGCTCACCCCGCTCCTCAGATCGCCCTTAGGAACATCGCCACGTTTAGGGGATTCTCTCACCTATAACGATCCGCCGCCTCCACCCCCCGGGCAGCCGTCTGCCGGGACAAGGGTTAATGGGACGACTGCGGCTTGCTAGTACCTCTGCCGTTCCCGGGCAGACCGACACTGTCTTCCCGTGAAACCAAGACTGATCCGGTGCGTGAACGCCCTACGCGTTCCCGGATCCCGGAGCTCGGCACCCGGCTGCCGTCGGGGCTGTTCCCTTCCCGCCCGCGCACCGGGTGCGGAGCAGGGCGGCCGCAGGAGCCTCCTTGCCGGAACCAGCGGACCCGGGGGCGCTGGGGATGGCAGATGGGACCAGCGGGCTTCCCTGTGGCGCCCGGGGGCTTTGCCGCGGGAGCTCGCCCTGCGCCCCCGAGACTCCCACGCCGGTGCCGGCTGAGGGCACGTGGGCGGACAGCGGCTTCCCTGGTGCGGGGAGTAGGAGGAGGAGGAGGAGAAGGAAGGGGTGGACGCGGGCCCAGGAGCGGTACTCACGGCGCCGGGAGGCTCGGGGGCAGCGCGGGGCTGCGGCGGCGCGGCTCCGTGGCACGCCGGGCATCTCCGGCGCTCCGGGGGGAGGCGGCTGGGCGGCGGCGGGGCCGGGGCGGGGGCCGGCGGCGGCTCAGCCCAGCGGCCCCGCAGCAGGGCGGCGAGCGGGCAGCGGGCGGGAGCCCCGCTCCCGGCCAGCAGCGCCGCCAAGGCCGCGCGACAGAAGCGGGGCTCCGGGACGTCTCGACGGGGCGCCGAGACGAAGCGCGGGCAAGGCCGGCGGGCAGGGAGCTGCGGCCGCAGGAAAGGGCTGGAGAGCAGAGCTGACAGCGAGGCGAGGGGCCTGGCAGGCCTCGGAGTCTGCGGCGAGCGGGGGAGGTGTGGGAGCGGAGGGACGGGGCGGGAAGAGAGAGAGAAAGAGAGAGAAACACAAAGTGAGCATCACCGAGAGGGCAGGCGGGGGGCCAGCACACCCAGCAGAACGCCACGGTGCTAAGATGAGGGTTGGAGAGGTGACAGCCGTGAACCCACACCCTGCTGTCCTCGCTCCCCCTTTTGCCCCCATGTACACTCTGTCTTTTTAACTTTTCTAAACCGGTCCTTCAGGTGAGGGCTGGAGGACAGCTCTCGTACCCAGCCAGTGCCCATTGCGGTTCGGGGCTGCCCACAGTACCAGAGGAGCACGGGGACCAATTTGGCCACTTAAAACCTACACCCAAAGAGCATCCCCCAAAAAATCCCCACCCGAAAAGCCAGCCGCAGACGACGGACGGAGCTGCAGCGGCGGCGGGGAGCGGAACCGAGCCATTGCCTCCCGGACCTGTCCAGGGTCCTGAACCTGACCGGAGGGTCCTGAACCTAGCTGCCTCCCGCCCTGGCCGGGTAGCTCGGCGGGCCCGCCCTGATCTGCGGCCGTCAGGATATCATGACCTTGCCCTTCCTTGCTGAGTGCCATTGTCCTGCAGAGATGGAGCCACCTTGATGGAGCATGGGCCCTGAGCAGGAACGGACAAAAATTACCGCTGCTTGCCTTTTCTCTAGCAATGATTTCTAACTGTTTGTGTTTGGGGTTTCATTCTTTCATCAAGGTTTAGCCCGTCCCAAAACATTGTCCCTTTTTCTGGCCTACAACCAGACACCAAAGAGACAGAGAGGAACCGAAGTCCACACAGTGTGAAGAAAACCCTTCCCAGAGTGATGGTGCTGCCCTTGAAGGCCAAAGAAACTGCTACAGCAGTGGGAGAACATGGCTGTGGTGCCATTGATGCCAGGGAAGGTGCTTGTTAGAGCTGAAATGAGCAGGGAAAGCTGCCATTCCTACACAGAAGGAGAGCTTCTGTTGCTTAGCAGCAGAGAGTTCCCCTAGGTCTGCTTGGAGAGGTGAACTACGGCAGAAACCGGACAATGTTCCCAGGAGAGCAGAAAAAATAGAAAGGTTGATTCCCACTCCACAACCCCACCCAGTATTCCTCCTGCCCCGTGGCAAGGAGCCCTTTTGGGCAAATCTCTGCCCTTTTGGTTGTGGCAGAAAGCACAGAACAGATGTTGAACAGATTTCTGTGCCAAACTACAATTGCCAAGGCCCAGACAGGACCTATGGAGATATTATAGGTTTGATAAGTAGGACTAAATGGCACTGCCTCACTTCTTGGCAGAGAAAAGGGAACAAAGTCTCAGTAAGTGTACTGGGGTGGCTGTTGATGTGGCTTAAGACCAAGCTCAAAACACCTGTAAACACCACTGGCCTTTGAATTCATCTCTTGGTAACTTTACCAGAAAAGGCATTCATTTCTCAGACTGGTGACTAAATGTGACTCCCCTAAGACCTCTCGAGACTACAGTCCCAGATGGCATCCTAAATCTTAGCAGGAATGCTTGATCAAATTCAGGTTTAAAATGCTGGCAGAGTGTAACCCCTTTAGAAGGTATGCTCTTACTTCATCAGCCTTTCCGTTTGTCTCAGGAGAGTCATGATCTGTTGTTCCTGTCCATGGCAGGGGGTTTGGAATGAGATGATCTTTAAAGTCCTTACTAACCCAAACCCTTCATGGTTCTAGCTAACACCTTATTAAAGAAGGCTATATATTTATTTTTTTTTTTCAAAATTCATGACGCATAGTGATGGTGGGCAGTATTGTATAAAAATACAGTATTTTTGTTCTCTAGCATAAATGGTGTTAGATATACAGAGCCACCTAAGCTAACTATCTTCCAGTGATTGGGGTTTGTAGGCAATGCTGTCTCTCTCTGCAGGCAGGGACCTCTGCATCACTGCATGTGTACACAACCACATCCTGAAACAGCTGAATGGTGTGGAGGCATGAAGTCCTCACAAAATTGTTAATGTAGTCATCTTCTCCTCTGTCCCTGAGTGATGGATGCAGGCTGATGTCCAGCTGCTTGAGACAGAACTGCATAAAAAAGGGCTTGGACTTTGACGAAATGGGGTTTAGAGTAGAGAGACACAGACTGGAACCCGTTCTCTCTCTCTAAAGGAATGTGAGCATGCAAAGCAAGTTCCCTCAGTCATCAGAGTAGCTTGCTCTGCATGTGTCTCTGTGACCTCACTCTCAGTCCCCTACACTGTTCTACTTTGTTCAGGTTAATTCATTTTCACAGGGACAGAGAGAAAGCCAAAAGTTAATCCAGCAAGGCATGGGAGCATTTAACCTTGCATTTATCTCTGTTTCAAAAAATCAGTTATGGAAAATTGAGAGCTTACATGTGAGCTGTGTATTTAATTTAATTATCCCATATAGTGACACCTTTTTTCTGTAACACACAAGGTAAATAATAAATCAGGAAATCTGGTTTCAATATTAGTATAGCAGGCAATAGAAAACACATCTCCACCCTTTACTTAACTTTTCTGAATATTTCACATTAGACTTATAAGCTCTTGATAAACTTTTAGGAGGAAATTCTGTTCAGCATGCAGTAGTTTTCTTTTTATTCTAAATCAGAAAGGGATGGTTTTATATGAGGGTACCTTTGCTATTTAATGTTGTCCCTTTGGATATTTCTTAGACTCCACCCTCCCTCTTTCTACAAATTTGTCCAGTTTACACGTTTTCCTAATTTTTCCTTTGTGGAAATGAGGAAATCTGTTATTGTTTATATTTATTTTACTTTTTACTGAAAACTTGCATGGCACCTTTTTCTTTTTTTCTTTTTAATTTGTTCTCACTGTTCAGAACAGGTGATAAGAAAGATAATACAGAACATGTACCTGTATTTTAATAACATTGTATTCCAACATTCTTGCAGTCACACATCAATGGGTGACATAATGCATGTGTCAGCTCTTTTGGGGCCTGTTTGCCTTTAAGGTGTGAGGGCTGATTCCTGCTCTCATACCTGAACTTCTGCTCCCTGCCCAAGGAGAGGTCGGACACATTTGTATGGCAGCTTTTGTGTTCTAGTCTATTTCAGTGTTTCCTACTCCCTTAAATTGTTAAAAAGAGAGTTTCTAGACCATTGAATGGAGCTGATTCATAGTGAATGAGGGAGCAATTCAAACAGAGAGTAAGAAGCCATTTTTTACTTTTTTCATTGACATTAAAGTGCACTTGTTACAAATCATTTTGAAGACTGGTGGGCTTTTCTGGGAAAGGAGATATTTTCAGAAGGAGAATGAGTTTCCAGGGACTTCAGCTGAACTTCAATTTTCTTTATGTATCAGCAGTATTCAAGTATTTGCTTTCCCTTACCCCTTAATGAAAACTAAAA